CTAAAGGTTAATGCCCCCCCCCCAAAAAATTAATCATAGTTCTCAGGAGAGTACCCCAAAAGACCCCAAAAATCACTTAATTGGTGGGACATGAGTGGGATTTATTTGTAGTAGTGATATGTTTTTGTTTTGAATGGCAATATTGGTTTCTCTAATTTTATGTGGCAGCATCTGGATGCTGCATTTCTTATGCACCTCATCTGTCAATCTCACAGGTTTTCCCTTGGTACCTAATGTCTCAGTCAGGAGAGTACCCCAAAAGACCCCAAAAATCACTTAATTGGTGGGACATGAGTGGGATTTATTTGTAGTAGTGATATGTTTTTGTTTTGAATGGCAATATTGGTTTCTCTAATTTTATGTGGCAGCATCTGGATGCTGCATTTCTTATGCACCTCATCTGTCAATCTCACAGGTTTTCCCTTGGTACCTAATGTCTCAGCTGAAGATGGGTACTGCATGCAAATTCCTAATATCTGTATTAACATATGGAGAGACTGAGTATGAAGAAAATGGTAATGTCTTCTTTACTCTTTTTTTCTATATCATTTGGCATGCCAATCCAAACATCTCATTCTTCTTGTTCTAGTAGAGTAAAAAGTGTTCAGTTAATCACATTCAACAAGTAAGTCTCTGGTTTGGTGTGTGACAAAATGTTGGGTCCACCCACTCCTGTCTCTGTCTTCTAGGAAGACAAATACATTCCTATGGTCTGAATCTACCATATAAGGACAATGAAAAATGGAAAGTTAGAACTTCCCTAATTTTAGCTCCTTTCAGTCTGGTCAAAGAAGGCAGTCCCCGACTTACGTGGATCCGACTTATGTCGGATCCACAGTTACGAACGGGGCTTTTCTCGCCCCGGGCTTCCTGGAATCAGCCGCTGATCAGTTTCAGCAGTGGCTGACTTGGGGACACCTGGGGCAGAGCAGCTGGGGTGCTGCCGGGTTGGTCCCCGCAGCGCCGCCCCTGCGGGGACCTACCCGGCAGCGCCCCAGCTGCTCTGTCCTAGGCGTCCAGATTCAGCTGCCGTTGAAACTGATCCACTGATCAGCGGCTGATTCCAGGCAGCCCAGGGCAGAACAACTCTGCCTCGGGCTTCCTGTAGTCAGCCGCTGGTCAGTTTCAGCAGCGGCTGAATCTGGAAGCCAGTTCCGACTTACATACAAATTCAACTTAAGAACAAACCTACAGTCCCTATCTTGTACGTAACCCGGGGACTGCCTGTACTATCAATGGTTTTGCAAGGTGCTAGGAAATCTGCAAAAAATCTGATCATCCCTGGGAAATAAAAGTATCTTACACAACTCTATAGCAATCTTTCTAATCAATTGAAAGGTGCAATGCCCATGGTCTCTAAAGTTCCATCAAATAGAAGTATTTAGGATTAAATTTTAATTGTGAGTTTTTCCTAGAATCGCCTTGAATTTTTTCTCCCCCCCCCCTTCCCATAATAAAAGAGCATAACAGCATGTATTGCTTTGAAGTCACAAGGCCCATACTATACCCTGCAGACTCACCATTATCCTTCCTAATTAGGGATGTCACCATGTAAATATCTACATGATTAACTAATAACCATTGGTTTATCAATTAATCTTGTCGACTATACGTGTTTCCCTCCCCCTTGCTGCCTCTGTATCAGAGGTAGCTACAGAGGGGGAAGAGGGAGCCAGTGCCCGTGAGGAGCTGGCTTAAAAGCCAGCTCCCCAGCTATGTCTACACTACAACGTTTTTGCACAAGAACCCACAGAGCGTCCACACCTCAAGTGCGTTTTTGCGCAAGAAAATCTACAGTCAATAGACAGAACAGAGGGCTTTTTGCGGTGTAGGTATGCCTCCTTCTATGAGGCATAACTCCTTTTTGCGCTACAGCTCTTGCACAAAAAGGCATGTGTGGATGCTCCACAAGGGTTTCTTGTGCAAAAAGAGCCTATCCAAAAAAGCACAGGTGCTCTGATTGCCATTTACAGAATGGCTATCAGAGCTATCTTGTGCAAAAGCGTCCATGCAGCATGGACGCTCTCTTGCAGAAAAGTGCATTGCAAAAGTGATGTGCTTTGAGATGTGGACATGCTTTTGCACAAAAAGTTTTTGCACAAGAACTCTTCCGCAAAAGACTTCTTGCGCAAAAACCCTGCAGTGTAGATGTTGCCCCCATGAGCAATGGATCCACCTGCTTTCCTTCGCTTCCCCAGCCCTCACTGCTACTTCTGATAGAGAGGTAGCAGCGCAGAGAGTGAGGGGGGAAGGCTGGAGCCAATATGCATGGGGAGCTGTCTTTTAAGCCAGCTCCCCGCCTGTATAGGGTCCCGCAGGCCCACAAGCAGGAGCTGGTGCTGGGAGTTAAAAGCTGGCTTCCCCCAGCATCAGCTCTGCATTGTGGCCTTCCCCACTGCTGCACTCCTGCCTCTATGGGTGTGTCTAAACTACATGGCTCCATCGATGGAGCCATGTAGATTAGGCTGATAGGCAGAGGGAAATGAAGCTGCAATTATTTAAATCGCGGCTTCATTTCCCTCTGCCTATCAGCCTAATCTACATGGCTCCATCGATGGAGCCATGTAGATTAGGCTGATAGGCAGAGGGAAATGAAGCTGCAATTATTTAAATCGCGGCTTCATTTCCCTCTGCCTATCAGCCTAATCTACATGGCTCCATCGATGGAGCCATGTAGATTAGGCTGATAGGCAGAGGGAAATGAAGCTGCAATTATTTAAATCGCGGCTTCATTTCCCTCTGCCTATCAGCCTAATCTACATGGCTCCGTTGACGGAGCCATGTAGTCTAGACGTACCCTATCAGACAGAGGCAGACAGAGGCTGCTCTGCATCCCATGGAATAAATAGCTTAAACCAGCATGAATTTTAAGAACGCTGAATCCAGTCATCTGCATCTGTATTTTGTCTGGAAAGGAATATACAACATTTAGTTGTCACCTAACACAACTTCCCTTATTATCTGATGACATTTCTACTTCTTCTTTTTGGTCAGGATCCATCTATCCTGAAGTGTTTTAACAAACAGACAAGATAGCAAGTAAACTGAAAAACACAAACTGCCATATTAGTGTTTGATACTAACATACAACTACAAATTACATTGTTCAAAATGAAAATATTTAACTTCTCTTCAATCTATAATGCTTTTTGCAATCTGTTTAATCAGATAAATACTTTAAACAGTTTAAGAATGAAGAATCATTTTGAAACCCAGAGAAAACATTTTAAAAGTTCTTAAAAATTCAGAGACAAAAATATGGAGAGAAAAAAAAACTTCATGACCATACTTCCAATGATTAAAAACAGTAAAGTCTTTTCATCAATAGACATGATACATCAAATTCTTAGATATTTGAAAGTTAGTTATCCATCTATTTCACAATGATTGTGCACTGTATTTTAGGTTTTTCTAGTGTTAGACACTGCAATAAATTCAGATTAAATTCTGGTTACATAATTTAGTAGCAAGCACTTTATTAAAATACTATATAAAGAACTTCTATTTTGCTATTAACATTTGTATTATATCATACTACAATATATAAATTAACTAAAGTCTATGTTTGAAACCTGAATTAAAATAGCCAACAGTGAGCAATATGGAATAACAATCTGGTTGTTGTGCAGATGATTTCATCTAAACTTCAGTCAACGAAGCTGCCCATCCAGTATTTCATCGCTGTGTAGATTTTTCACAGTTTACATGGCCTGTAATAAACAGATTATTATAGAAGAGGTCAGACTAGATGACATGGCAGTTTCTTCTAGCCATACACTCTATGACATGGGTTTCCAATTAAAATTACAACAAATTAACAGGATAGAACATACACTAAACCAAATAGACTAAGGATAATAAATTGCGGTTAATTGACTAGTTGAGTAGTCAATGGAATTTCCATTGACTACTCGACTAGTCAATAAGGCACTTCCACATTCCTCATTTGAAATGTACAAGAGCCCCCACTGGAGGAATGCGGACCGGCATGTGCAGCCTGGGACCAGTGGGAAATCCCTCTGACTCCAAGCTGCATGTGGGTGCCTGCTTTGAAATGTACAAGAGTCCCCAGCTGGGGCTCTTGTGCATTTCAAAGCCATGGATCCCGGAATCAGCGGGGAACTCCATGCTGCACTGCATGCCATGCGGAGCCCAGGGTCAGCTGGGGACTCCCCAGCTGACCCCGGGTTCCACTGAAATGCTGTGCAGAGCCCAGGATCAGCTGGGGAGTCCTCAGCTGACCCCGGGCTCCATGGCGCTCCCCTTTGAAACGCTGAGGCGGTGTTTCAAAGGGGCAGCGCTGAACAGCTGAGCCCGGGATCAGCTGTGCGGCTGCTCCTCCTAAATGCCAAAGTGGCGTTCAAAGGGGCAGCATATCACAGCTGATCCCTACCTAAGCTGTGTGGCGCTGCCCCTTTGAAACACCGCCTCAGCGTTTCAAAGGGGAGCGCCATGGAGCCCGGAGTCAGCTGAGGACTCCCCAGCTGATCCTGGGCTCTGCGGGGCATTTCATCAGAACCCGGGATCAGCTAGGGAGTCACCAGCTGACCTCGAGCTCCACAGCACTTCAGCATTTTAAAGGAGCAGCCCTGCATGGCTGAGCCATAGATCAGCTGTGCAGCAGCTGCCCCTTTGAAACACCGCCTTGGGGTTTCAAAGCGGTAGTGCTGCACAGCTGATCCCTAGCTCAACAGTGCAGCACTACCGCTTTGAAGTACCTGTTCTTTCCCCGCTTTGCTGCCTCCATCTAATAGAAGCAGCAAGAGGGGGAGGGGTTGATTAATCAACTGACTATCCAATAAGCATTTGCTTATCAGATAGTTGACTAGTCCTTAACATCCTTAAAATGGACCCAAAACTTTAGAACACCATTTCTGACCCCAAACATCCCAACAGTTTGGCAACTTTCCAAGAGCCTGAGCGCTATATATAATTTGCCTAACATTTTACATAAGCATAAAAAATACATATGTGTGTACTTGAAATCTCATCTTTGTTAACAGATCAAAAGAAACTACCTGTAAGATCTGAGAACACAGCTTGCTAAGTCCTATTTATACCACAAAATGAAGCTATGTAATAACTTGATCCACTAATATTGTTGCAACTGTAGTGGTTTTTAAATGAGGCCCAAACATGGTTTTATTATTTTATACAGCATTGAATATTCTTCAACATAATAAACATAAACGTAATCATTTAAATAAAGTTTAGTTCATTTCTGAACATATATAATTTTACATATCCCATCCTGAGTCTACTGTGAGTTTTTGAAAACCTTTTAATTTTCTCCATGCTTCTTATCATATTCTACTTTCTTGTTGCTTTAACTGTATCTGTCCTATATAAATAAACCCTCTCTTCTCCCCCAATCAACCAAAATAAGCTTCAAACTGCACATTTTAATTTCTAATTAGCTTCACTTAGACTACAGTGAGCTATACTAGAGAAGAATAACAATTTCTATTATTATATCCAATCTTCAGATGCTTATAGACTGCCAGTTCTGCCTACTTGTTTTTCCCGTTGATATTTTTATACCCTCTGCCCCTTGTTTCCTGCCTCCCTCCTTTTTTTTATGCCCTCCTCTCCCTTCTTCCCTATTTATTTTGGGTCTGCACATGCTAAACTCAAAACTCCAGTCATCTAAAGAAGTGGGCTGTGCCCACAAAAGCTCATGATACCACCTACATGTTTTGTTAGTCTATAAAGTGCTACCAGACTATTTGTTGTTTTTTTAAGTTTATCCTGTACAACTTGGCTACCCCCTGAAATTTCTATTATGTAGAAGTTTCCAATCAAAATGTAGTTTATGGAAAAATAGATTTTTCAGAAGCAAAATTATTATACTAGTCAGAGAATAGGAAACTATCCGAATGGATGTATATTTTAACATTTATTTTAACCTTGTTACAACTTTGGAGTTGGGGTTTTTTTGTTTGTTTGTTTGTTTCTGGTTATTTTGTTTTTGCCAGAAGTTGGGAGAGGGCAACAGGAGATGCTCATTTGATGATTGCCTGTTCTATTCATTTCCTTTGAAGCGCTTTGCAATGGCAACAGACGGAAGACAGGATGCTGGGCTAGATGAATCATTGGTCTGACTCATTATGGCCATTCTCATGTTCTTTCCTCTATACAAAACATAGTGCTTTTAATATTCATCTTTCACACCAAACACTTGCACATATGCTATTTGAGACATATAACCCTAATCTGGAAATTAGCTTAGGGTGCAAAAGCAACAAAATGGAGCTCTGTGACAAGGAGAAGCAGAAATCTATGTATTTATAGTTCATCAGACAACATGATCAGGAAGCAATAAGCTCCAGGTATAGCCCACAAGGGTTACTACAAGAAGAGCAAACGTCATTAGTCGGGGTGCAGCTACTCACGCCCCTTACTTCAATACACATTCAGATCCTGCAGAATGCAAAGAAAGAAAGAAGACTATATTGATCCTTCTTGTCTTTACGGTTGCATAGATAAATACAATCTGAAGCAATATAATACTGAAAGAGCAGGTATAAAAGATATGTGAACTGCTTATTTTTTAGCCTAATGAAGGCTAATAATTGTCAAATACAGATGTACAATTGTCTGCCTAAACTGCATGTGCAAGCACTAACTGTATGCCCAACTGGCTAATTGCATAATAATATAAAATTGTAAAATAATCAAAGGACATAAATAGTCATTTCTCTCAACCAAATCATTCTTACTGTAAAAATAATTGTATTAAATTTCAGTGGCCATATACTATTCACAATCTTAGTGTAAATCTTCATTCATTATCATTGGAACACCCTCTGTAGTACAGTATATGGCTCTTAATTTGTAGCACAAAGAACATAATTAAAAGTGGAACAAGGCCTTCTCCACAGAAAAAGGGATAGGACTAAGTATGATGCATTCATCTAAATTTATGGGATGAAAAACTAAAAATAAAGTGTTAAAAGCAGTGAATTCTCAAACAAAAACATTTAAAAATAAAAATCTGATTAACACATTCTAACATATCAAAATTGAACAAAAGTGGCACGTTATTCAGACTGCATCTGCAGCATTTGTAGCCAACACCCTTGAGTCATTCAGTTATAGCTGTCAACAGTCCAGTGTTTCCTAACATCATCCAGAGACACTGGTGTCCCAGCTACTAATCACACCAGGAATATGTTGCAGCATTTAGCAGACTTCTTTTTCTCAGAGATACTTTGGCCCTATAGATAAGCTGTCACCCCATGCTTTATCCTGTCTCATCAGCAGAAAGAGCCAACCCTCACTCAGTTTTAACTATCTACACAAACAAGGCAAGGACATGAAACTAGGTGCTCCAAAAAGATATGAGACAGCTAGAAGGGATCAGAAAAGGAGCCTGCATGCGACAGTTGATATAAAGGAGGGAGAAAACAGAAGAGGGAAGCCTTGAAGGGCAGAAGTTGTACAAAAGTGTCAGTGGGTGGTAGGAACAGGAAAAGACACTTTGTCAGAAACGCAGAGAACATGGAGGCCGCTAAGAGGAGTTACGTGCTTTATACAGATTTTAGATGATTGTTCCCAGGATCCGAGAGAAGTCGCTAGAACGCACACAGCTTTCTCATCGCCCTCAGACCCCAGCTTCCTTGGGAAAACATCCCTGACCACTTTCTTCTCATATTGGTAACTTTGCTCAGGCAATGGCAACTGCAATGGTTTTAAACAGCACCAGTGAGGGACCCTTGTCAGCAACTCAGCAGGTGAGGCAGAGCGCTCTCTACACATACGGACAATACTATGCGCAGTGCCCCACATCTGGCTCGGGGCGGGCTACACAGTGACGAACTTGCGCTCCTCCACCCGGACACAGAAACCTAAGGTCCGCTGCTCCCTCCCTCCGAACAGAGAGGGTCGATGGCCTGACCTATCAGGCACAGGTGCCTCGCTGCATGACGGGAATTGTAGTCTTCCTGAAGAAAAGCTAAGGGCCGGAGCATGCGGAAGTTAGGGATCATCTAAAGTCGCTGCTATCCCAAGCGCAGAGGATCCCAAGCTGGAGGCGACTTGGGAGCCTGTTATTCACAAACTTCCGCGCTCACCTATCGACGTTAGTTAGGCCGGCCGATAGTGAGCATACGCATTAGTACATTTCACCCACCCGACAATCCTGGTTGTAAGCATGCGCACTAGCACTTGCCCGCTGCGTCAGTTATTTTCTGAGCAAGCGCACTGATAACTCCGTGCCTCACTAGCCCTCTAGTTCACTGAGCTTACCGACAAATCTGGCCGCTTGAGATGTTGAGCATGCGCATTCAGATATCCCTGACCCGATCAGCAACGGGCGAGCCTGCGCAGTGTGAAACAAGTGGGCCAGTTGCGGAGTCTGCGCAGTGTGGATCCGTTCGGGAAGGTTCTGTGTCGTCTGTCTCGCTACTACAGCTTTTCTCTTCAAGCAAAATCCGTTCAGGGTACGGGCCACCTGCAGCCCCAGCCCCCACCCTGCCTCGCTGGGACTCGGCCGCGCCCTCTTTAGCCGCTCCCAGCTCCGCCTCTCACTAAGGAGACCAGACCGCAGGCCCGGCCTGTCTCCGCGCCTCGGCCCTGATCCTGCTGCCTCGCCGGCACCCGGCAGCCCCTGGAATCTGGGCGCCGTTCGCCTCTGCCCCTCCCTTCTCTGGGAGCCGGCCGCGGGGGTGGGGCTGCCCGGGGCCGCGGGCCGAGAGGATGGCGAGCGCCCTCCTTGGGGTTGGGGACTTGCGCCAGCCAAAAGCATCTTCTTTCAATCGGCGGCCACGGACTCTGTGGGGCGGCTAGGTCAGCGGGAGCTGAGGGTGCTCAGCACCTGGCAGGATCGGGCCCAGCTAGGTAGCGCTAGGCAGGTGACTCTTCCCTGGCTGCGGGGCTGATCTCCCCTTCTCTCACTGGGAGCAGAAAGGAGGCGCTGAGAACGCAAGGGGAGGGTAGGTACTGCTACAGGAGGAGGAAAGATCTTCCAGTAAGATCTTTCTGACCCCTTCAGCCCTGCTGCTAGAGTCGAATTGAGAAGAAATCTGTTGTCTCTTCTCTCTGGTCCAGGTGTCTGGGAAAATGGGGGGTGGTGAATAACCTGCTATCTTCCCTCCTGTCCTACTGCAGCAGAGGAAAATGGGCCAGCCTGCAAGCTGCAGAACTTGGTGGCATCAAATATGGAGCCGAAGTGGCTGCTTGCTGCGCTTGCGGATAGGGTCAGCCTTGTGTGATGGCCCATCTTAATGGAGAAAGAGATTGGCACCGTGTTAACTGCGCGGTTCTCTCTCCTTTGCTGCAGTGCCCACTTTCACCGTTGCCTCCTGCTCTGCCTGCTCCCGCTTTCAGCATGGTAAAGAAGAATACTATCCCCGATGGGTAAGTATCCCTCACACTGAGAGAGGCAGGAGTGGGCCCAGCCCTGCCTGCAGGGACTGCCCTATGCACTCTTATGCTACAGGATCTCCTCTCTGCCACCAACAGCCAGGTAAGGTAGGTATCTGCTCCAAGACAGGGAGGGGACAGTCCTCCATCCCCCAGGTGAGTATAATATCCCAGCCTGTTGTGAACGTTTCTCCTTCATCAACTACACATAGATCCTATTCCTTAGCCTCCTTCCCCCCAGTTGTGTTCTCACAACTGGGGGAGAGGGGACGGACAATAGTCCATCCTTTCAACTTTTCAAATGTTTGCCACCAAGAGCAGGAGAGGAAGGGGAGGGGGGGCAGTTGCTTGTGTGCATGTGCATCTGCGAGAATATCTCTTGTGCACCAAAAGCCCTCCCACACACCCCTTGTACTCTTCAAATGAACTATCAGAATGTTTACTGGTTTTGTCTCTGTAAGTCCCAGCATGCAGCATTCTATCTGCATCCTAGTGACCTGAGAGTAAAGAAGGTCTGTGCTTCATATTGGCTGTGCTTCATATTAAAAATGACAGTGGCTATGATCTCCATTTTATTTTATAACAGATGTAGCCTTTTGTGCTATAGACAGTTCACCAACAGACTTGGTTGCACATGAACTTAAGGGTTAGTACTGTGGAGTAGTCCCTGAGGCTTTTATGCCTTTCATCAGGAGATCTGTGTGTTTTAGAAAGGTGGGTATTTTCTTCGTGTAGCTTTAACAAAGCCCTTGAATGACTGACAAAGTCCAAAACAGTACATAGGATTTCTGATTTCCATTGCCTGCTAAAAAGGTTTTATAATCTAGTATTATAAAACCAATCCAGGTCAAGAAAAATTAATAAAGAATTAAAAAAAAAGACTTTAAAGAATTTTAGGTGTTTGGTCATAGCAGGCTGTGATCGGAATTACAGTTCAGCAGCTTTTTATTTATAAAATATTTGATAGTTTTAAACTTGTTCTTCCTTTTCCATTCATATTATATCAAAAGTTTTAAGTTAGATTAAAAGTTTTACTTATTTTTATTTAAAAGGCCTTGCGTTCCTCAAACACGAAACGGGGGAAAAAAAGGAATGTCTTGCTCTCTTTCTTCATGTCTTAGGGTCATTAATACTACAGGACTGAGAACATGTTCAGTAATTAATTATCCCTTTATTCCCGGAATTTGAAGGAAGTAAAGCAGCTCTGGCCTAAACAAATAGGCTACAGGCATATGGATGCTATCCTAGCTTTTACTTCCAGCCTGTATAATTAGAAACTAGCCTCTATGTGTGTTCCCAAATCGAGAAATAAACTGTCATGTAGGAGAGATTAATTTAAAAAGTTGATCTAATTCCTCAATGTATTGTGTACCTTTCCAAAGGATGCAGTTGTGGTTTTAAACATTCTTTCAATTTCATGTTTTTTGTTGATAAAGACGTTACAAGTTAACGGCCTTATTTTTACCTTATTTTCTTATGTAAACATTTAAATATATTTCTACCAAAACAGCCTTTGAGAGAGTGTGTGTATATCTATCTATCCATCTATGTTTACTTAAAATTAAAAACATCTGAAAGGTGGTCCAAAAGGCTTTTGACCTGTCAAGATCAAAATTTGCGGTATATGTTTTTTTGATGGAATCAATAATATAAAGTGTGAGGATAGCAGTTCCCGGGTATGTTTAGGTTTTAGTGACATTGCAAGTTTCACCTTCAGCATAGGTGAAAAAGGAACTGATTTTTATTGTCTTAAAATGTCTACAGTTTTACAAAGTCTACATGATATGTTAATGATTTATATTTCTCTTGTGCACTATTAAAATTCCTATGATTTTTGGGGGTATTTTTTCTGGTGAGAAATTGCTTATGTGAAAATGAAATATGTTATCTAAATTGTTGAAAATGTTCTGGACAAATTGCTCTGAACCATTCAGCATTCCATTTCTTTACTCAGGAAATTTGAAACAGGCGAAGTTCAAGAAAATTAGGAACTATGCAACTCAAAACAATATTATCAATTTGAATTGTAGTTTAAAATGAACTAAAGGTAGTTTTAGATGCTACTGATCATCCTTAATTACGTGTCAGTGTTTTGTTGTCCCATTCTTTGTTGTTGTGAGAGCGTCCTACGCGAACAGGAGAGACTACATATAGAGGAAACAGTGAAACTTAAGGCTTGGTTTTTTTTTTTCTCTCACTCTCACTCTCACTCTCTCACACACACACACACACACACACACACGTTGTATCATTTTATATTCCTATAATTTAAAATAATACAAACCACATGGTGTGGATCCAGTTAGCCCCTTAAAAGGCAAATCTGTTGATATCCGCTTTATATCCATGGGTATCTGTGGCTGCGGGTATCTGTGACTCACTTTTGTGGATGCAAATACAAATTTTTGTATCTAGAACCCTGCAAATTTTTAGATACCCATGGATATAAAGCAGGTATCTGCATCCACAGATGTGGATATCTGCGGATCATTCTTCCGTCGACATAGCTACCACCTCTCAGGGAGGTGATGGAGTACTTGGTGTAGGTAGTGTCTTCACTAAGTGCTTTGGTGGCACAGCTTTGTCATTTTAAACAAGGCCATATTATGGAGTACTTGGTATAGGTAGTGTCTTCACTAAGTGCTTTGTCTTCACTAAGTGCTTTGTCATTTTAAACAAGGCCATATTATTAGATTTTTCTGAAATTACATTTAACCTGAATGGCTAAAACGTGCAGACCATCATTATTAGTCCATCAGTATCTGAGTCCAACAAATAAAACAGTATTGCTTAATTAGATATTTTTAAAAATAAAAAGTTTATCAGGTTTTGTAATTCAGTGATATATTAAACATTCAGTCACAAAGTTAGGTAACTATGTTTTTACTATATAATTGGGGACTAAAATTCTTCTCTTATTGGTGTTTGTTTAGAAGTATTTTGCCAAGGATCTCTTATTTATTTAAAACTTGGTACGAATGAGTTTTGACTTATTTTTTTAAGACAATTCCAGATATAAATGTTAAAATCCCCTTATGTTAAATGTGTATGTGCTGTTTTACTGAGCTGCAGGGACACTAACAATGAAAATGCTAAACTTAAAAAACAACAAATAGTCTGGTAGCACTTTAAAGAATAACAAAACATGTATATGGTATCATGAGTTTTCGTGGGTTGAGCTCATGATAGCATCTACTACATGTTTTGTTAGTCTTTAAAGTGCTACCAGACTATTTGTTGTTTTTTGGTTTATTCTGTACAGACTAACTTGGCTACCTCCCGAAGCTAATAAAAATGCTACTTATTTATGTAGCAAAATCCAAATTTAAAAACAGTGAATATAATTTCTATTAAAGTTCTGTTCTGCTCAGGAAAATAATTTTAGAAATGGCACTAGAATCATGAACTCTACTCCTGTTCAGGATTATTTATGTTGCTTTTACTTTAAAATAATTGTAGAAATGGCTACAATAATCTGTTCAGGATTATTTATGTTGCTTTTACTTCAGAACTA